TAATGAACGGCAGCAAGGTAGATGCCAGGACCCATCTCCAGGCTAGTGAACACCGGCTCCTCCCTCCTTCTCCTGCAGACTCTATACCTGGCAGAAAATTTAATAAAGTTGTTCCAATTCCAGGTAGTGTGTTGTAATCTGAGAGCTCTGCAGCTGTGAGCGAATAGTTTCACTCCAAGTCCACCTGTACAGGACAGCATAAAACAAGCTCCGCTCACTGTGGGGCTGAATGCTATTCTTCCTTGAAATTCACAGGTTCAATTCCTCACCCTCAGTGGTTGTAACTGAAGGCAAGGCCTTTGAGAGGCGATCGAATCATGAGCCTGGCCCCAGCATCTATGGGATTGGTGCCCTGAAAAAAATGGACCCGCGACAGCCCTCTCTTCTTCTTATCCCGGGAGGATTCCATGAACATTTGCTAGGAGTCTGACAAAGGCCCTCACCAGAATGTCACCACTGCTGCGGATGCACATTTCCAGCATTCAGGATTGTGGGAAGACCTTTCTACATTCACAAGATCCTCTAACTCTGCTACTTGGAGCAATTCATATACCCACCCCAGACATTGCTGAGGTTCAATACTATCGTGTGCATCCAGCTCCCATCATAACTCCAAGGGGGAAGGAGCGTTTCTGTGACTTCTAGACCAGTGTGGCTTTAGGGAAGGGAGGCCAGGCTTTGGTCATGAAGACCCAAGCGGAAAGTTTGGTTCATTGTGTATCAACTGCGTGACAAAGCACATCTCTTAACTTGCCTGAGCAGGAGTCCTCAGGTCTGTGAAACGGAGTTCCTGATGTCTTTTTTTCCAAATGTGATCTTCAGAAGAAGAGGATGAGTGCAGCTGATTGAGGGATGGCAGCTGAGCAGGCAGAATGCATGCGCGCCATGGGCTGGGCATGACCCGAGGGAGAACAGCTGAACAAAAATACCTAGGACCAAGCCAGTGTGGTCTACCTCTCAAAGTGTGAGTTGACTAATCTGACTTTTTTGTTTTTTTTTTTGCTTATCCTGGATTTTGAACTCAGGGCCTGAGCACTGTCCCTGAGCAATTTTGCTCCAGGCTAGCACTCTACCACTTGAGCCACAGCACCACTTCTGGCTTTTGTGTGTGTGTGTGTGTGTGTGTGTGTGTGTGTGTGTGTGTGTGTGTGTGTATGTGGTACTGAGGAATCAAACCCAGGGCTTCATACATGCTAGGCAAGCACTCTACCACTAAGCCACCTTCCTGGCCCTGATCTGACTTTTTAAGAGAAGCAAGAAAAGGTCTGGAGGCAGCTCAACAGGTTTTTAAAACATCAGGTATTTAGTGGACTCAGGGCCTAAGAATAAAAATATAAGCAAGCTGCACGTCACTTTCCAAGTCCCCTTGGATGTTGTAAATATCACCATCGATTCCTCCCTTCTGTTATACACATAACACATGCCCACCCACGAGAGGACTTTCTTTTCTGCCTTGAATCTTGTTTCTTGGGACTCCTTGCATGCTTGCCATATAGAAGTGACTCGATGTTGGTTTTGGACACTGGGAGTTTTGTTGCCTCTTAACCTGGGATACTACCTTTCATACTCCAGCATTACTCTGTGAGAACCCACGAAGAGACCATAAGAACACACTTGAGTTAGTAGCCTTGGCTCACTTCCTACCCAGGAGGCAGTGCTTCAAGTGTTCCATGTTGGACGTTCAGCCTAGACAAGCTTCTGAGGACTGCAGTCCCAGCTGGCACCTGTTCCTGGACAGCACCAACTGCCTGGCAGAGCTTTCAGAGGCATGCATCATCACGACAGAGTGTTCTCTTGAGTCACTTTGTTTCTGCCTAGATAGCCTCTTTATGAAGCCAACCTACCCATCCAACATCGTGAATGCTACCATGCCATTTATGTCTTTGCAGAATTGACCTCGCCTGGTGGAGTCATCGTGTTTTGAAGTTTTCAGTCCCTTCACCCGCCCTCTACATGGTCTCCAGCCAGTCACAGGTTGATACAGGTGCATAAAGTTGGCCTCTAGCACTCTGTGGAGAGCCTTTTCGCCACAGACCAGGCCTAGGAAATAGATTACTGAGATCCACAGCTTCTCTTGGCTCTAGCCTCTTCCTTGGCTTGATTCTCCAACTCTCTTTCTCTTTTCTTTGTATTTGTTTTTCTGCTTATGTGGTGCTGAGGAATCAAACCCAGGACCTCATGCATGCAAGGCAAACACTCTACCATTTAGCCACCTTCCCAGCCCTCTCCCACTCTCTTAAAGGTTTTCTTCAAAGAAAATTCTTCTAATAAATCCCATACTCCTAAACCTGCATCTCAGTCTCTCCTTCTGGGACTGCCAACTTAAAACACTTACTCAGTTCTTCCTTTTTAAGCCCTCCTTACCAAACTTCTCTTGATGATAAACCAAGACTGTTTTAGCATGTTAAAAAACTCAACAAATTATAACCAGTTTTTTCTCTATCTTCCTGGTTGGTGGAAAAATTATCTATCTATCATCTATCTATCTATCTATCTATCTATCTATCTATCTATCTATCTATCTATCTATCTATCTATCTATCTATCTATCTATCTGTCTACCATCTATCTATCTCTATGGAATGGTCTTTGAAAACAAGGAAGTCCTCAAGCAGCTTTTCTATAGTCCATATACAAACACCTTTTAGAAAATGAGTAAAATTGACTTTTTAAAATTAGGACTATAAATGCTTATTATATAGCATTGTTGTGAAGATTGATTGGAATAGTACCCATGTGTTCAACGAGAGCTTGTTTTGTTTTTTAGCAGAGCAAGCCCTCTCGAATAGAACTCTTTGACAATAGGCTCCAGAAGCTCTGACAAACCCTGCACGGTGCTACCTTAAAGCCCAGCCTGAGGGAACCCTGTGTCTCTAGTACAGGCCACAGGATGGTTCTTGGGTGGTTGTGAACTCACCTACCTAGTAACCACCCCCCTCCCCCATGAATTACCTGTAAATCTCAAGAATAACTGTCCAGTGTGCTGAGAGCAGAACATCCTGAGATAACAGGGAGCAGGTGATCTTTCACAAGTTCTTTAACATCCATGCTCTGGAAACGTCATTGCTAGGGTAGTGGCATTGAAGGGTGGGTTCTTTAGAAAGTGATAAGGTCATGTGCACTCTGCCTGTGTGGAGATGAGAATGCTGTCATCCCCAGAGTGGTCATTGGAGTGGGCTCCTGATAAAAAGATGTTTGCTTTCCTCCCTCTTCCCCCCATTGCCTCAGTTTCTCATCCTGTCACAGCACCATTTTTGCCAGATGCTGGCACCTTGGTGTTAGCCTTTCCAGTCTCTAGTGCTGTGATACGTACACTTGCTGATAAGTTATCCAGACTGTGGTGGTGTGTTATAACAGCGTGGCATGGAGAAAGTTGTCCTTCAACAGGTAATTCTGGGTTTCTGTGACCCCTGGGTATAAAACTCAGCACAGGCTGCTTTCTAGGATGCCTCAAGCAGCAGTGTAAGAGGGGCAGAAACAGCTGTGGCCTCCCTACCACCAGTCAGCTTTCCTGAGCCTTGGAGAATGAACTAGCATGAATCCTCAGCTTCCATCCTCTCTGGCTACCTTATCTACAAGTGGTAAATCCATTTCCTGGGACTTGTTGTATGGGAATGTGTTCTCCCCAGTGAACTTCCCTCAGACAAGTTTTTAATCATTCTACTCCACTTGGAATCTGGACATTAAAACTCAGCTCAGCACTTCTCAGAACTGTGAGCAGATTGGTACATGCACAAACATATGTACATACACACATACACACACATATGTACATACAAACAGCCAGAGTCACTTACTTTGGTCATTAACACAGTTTATTATTGGCACACTTACCAGTAAAGCATACATAAAATACAGCTGTTTCATTATAACACACGGGCCACTGTGTCTTTACATATGCGGAGAAACATATTAATATGCAAATGGAAAAATTAGTTCTCTTATAAAGTTTCACATAAATACACTGGGATTGCCCCAAAAGAAAAGTCCCCATAAAAGAACCAGGTGAGAGCTTTACAAAATATTATACAAGAAATATACCATCCAAAAATGTCAACTCAGATTAAAAATAAAACACAAAGAGTTTCAAATTTATTAAACTGCCCACAAAATTAATGGAGTACATGGCTTGAAAATATTTGGATCAACAGCAACTTCACAAATGCATACATTTTCCAGGGTCCAATTGTCCTTTATCTAAAAGAGAAAATCTACCCATTGTCTTTGATGAACAAAAGACATTTCTTGTTTCAGCCTTTGGACAATATTGATGCAATTCAGACTCAAGAAACAAATCAACATCAGCTCGATTATTAAATTACTTCGTTGGACCCTCTTTGCTGTTGCCCAATGGGGGGAGCAGGGAAATAAACATGGAAGAAAGAAAATAACGGTACAATTAAGTTACTTTCCAAAAGCAGATTTTTTTCTTTTCTTTTTTTACAGAAACAAGAAACTCTCAAATGCAAGTCAGAAAAGCAGAAAGTATTTTACAATATTAAAAAGTCATCTGTAGTTAGGTTCAACATGTTTAATGCGATCCTGAGCACTGAGCACACGTAGGCCACATGGCCTTCCTTGGAAGCGTGGAAAAGGGAATTCAACATAATAAACACGTGGATCAGGTCGTGCCAGGAGACGCGCTTGCGTCTGCTCTCTTTTTCATTACCATTAGTGCCAGTATTGGTACTTCCTGTAAGGCCTCCAAGCAAGGGCCAGGGAGACATTCAGTATGATCTTCTCAATTAAAAACAACAACCCCCCCCCAAAAATCGGGTTCTGGTGGCTCATGCCTGTAATCCTAGCTACTCAGGAGGCTGAGGTCTGAAGATCACAGTTCAAAGCCAGCCTGGGCAGGAAAAAGTCTGTGAGACTCTTATCTCCAATTAGCCACTCAAAAAACCAGAAGTGGTGCTGTGACTCAAAATGGTTGAGCACTAGCCTTGAGCAAAATTGCTCAGGGATAGCGCCCAGGTCCTGAGTTCAAGCCCCACAACCAAAAAAAAAAAAAAAAAAGAATGCAAGAAAGAAAACCAGAGCATTGATCATTGTGGTTTAGGGATAGATCTTTGCATGGGAAAGTTGTAATTTCTCCTTGCTCCTCTCCTGAAAGTTAAGATCTGCCATTGGAACTCTACCCCACGGGTGGGGCCTATCCACAGTGGATCTCTGCCGGCAGGACCTCTTACTGGGAAGCCTGGGGTGGGGGGTTTTCTGATTTGGTCTCTTGCGTGGCTGGAGGTTTACTGCTCCACGGGCTGTTGTTTCCCAGGGCGGGTGAATTGTTGAAGTCTTCCTCGTCGTCCATGCCGTTGGCCGCATCATACTGCGTGTTTTCTAATCTAGTGATTAGCCTTTCGTCCTCGTCCCCAAACTCACCTCCCATCAGAGTTGGCTCTCCTACCACCATCACATCCTGTGAACAGCAGCTGACATTATTACAGGGAACCTTTGGGAGAGAGAAGCTCAGCTTAAAACAACAGTGGCAGGAGCTGGGGAAGACTAGGACAGACACACTCATGTGCTGTACAACAGGGGTGTGGGGTGTCATTTCTCAATGTCGGGGGTGGGGAGGAGGGCGAGACGCATATTTGCATTCTACAGGAAATAAACATTGCCTCCTGATGTAACAACCACGCGAGTTTATGTCCTTAGTGCGCAGCCTGACACCGGAGAACGAGCAATGCTAGCAATCTGCAGAAATAAAAAAATGGAGTTTTTCAAAATTAAAAAAAAAAAAAGCCACGCTTTGAACTCGCTGACACTGGGGAATTTTGAGAGGGCTTTATGGAACCTTCTGCTGGGTGATTTTTCAATACTTCCAAAAATCTGCCAATTTGATTATTGAAGGACTTTGGAAACTAGCAAGTGAAAGGGGATTTGCATAAGGTGCCATTCTGGAATATTCACACAACTCATTCCAAGTGGTATTTGCTCTGTCCCAAGAATGGTAGGCATTTAACTGAAGACAGCATCTCTAGCATTTCTCTCTCTTTAAAAATTTTTTTTTTCCTACTCAGCCAGGCCCTTTTATGCAGCCAATATCCTTGACATTCTGCTACTTAATTATGGTAATTAATTTAGGTAAAGTTTTCGATAAAAACAATGTTCACACTGATTTGACAATTTGCATAGCTAATTAAGTCATTAGCAAAAACCTGCTGATTGCCAACAAGCCCTGAATTTACCATCTGTTATTTCATGGCGCCTGTCACCTATCCCCACACAGGCAACCCTGCTACCAATCTGGGCAGTAAAGAGAACCAGTCCATCCAGCTGGTGCCATAAAAGGAAGATGAAGAGAGCTAATTATAATTATACTGATGAAGCTGGTCGTCATCAGAAGTGGAAGCATGCAAGAAGAATCCATCTAATCACTCCTTTAAGTACAAATTGTCCTTCCGTGCAAACAAGAAAATCACCTACTGTAGCAGGGAGCCCCGTACAGTCTGCAGCTGGAGGAAGGCAGGATGGGGAAGGGATGGGTGGATGCACAGGCAGGGCACCATGCTGGCCTCTTTGTTCAAAGGGAACCATATGGGTTGGTGGGTGATCTGGGCATGGACCTGGACACCTGTCAGGTAGATTTCTGGGCACGTTTGAGCAATACTTTACTTAAAAGTATCATGCTTCAGATGGAGCTACTGTCAGCCTCCACAAGAGCAGAAAAGGCTCTTGGACCACATGATTTTGGAGTTGGACAGTGTGTCTCTTGATAAGGAGGCTTGTTCTATGAAGTGCTTTGAAAACTGGGATTTTAACGAGAGAAGGTGTTTCCGGAAGTATAATAGAAAACTGCCCAGGATCAAGAGAAGGGGATGGGATCCTCTGATTTGATGCAAACAGGATCCACTGAACACATCTCTTAATCCTTACTTGATCTATTTGGGGATGGAAAACCTTGCTTCACCCTTTTCCTCGAGTTAGGAGAGAGAGTCGATACATTTTCCAACCATGTTTTCTAGTCACTCTTGTGAATGGATAAAAAAAAACAAACTAATTTTAAAAGCGCATCATTTGAAAGTGAATGATATTAAAAAACATCCCTGACATTGTAAATTCTTAAAGTGTGTACTTGGTTAACTCAGCAATAATGGTGCTGGTAGGGTACTGAACTGGGTGCTTCCAAGAATGTGGTTACTAGGCAACAAAGAACCAGAAATGACTCTGACATATATAAGGACTCATGAGGACTCTTAAGATGAGATGCAAAATAGACATAGTCTATTTGACTGGCAAGAATGGCAACAGGGTTTTAGATGGGATGTGGGTACTATGCAGATGTGCGAGCATGATTCAGTTAGCAGCACAGCTGCCCTGTGGCCCGTTGGGGTTGTCCAGATAGGAAAGTGTCACTTAGTTACAGGCAATTAGGAGACTCAATTATGATCAGGAACAAAGGCAGATAGAAAAAAATAAGACAAGATTGGCCAGAGCACGACATGAAAATTAATCTCGCTGAATGACGTTTGCACAGCATACTTTGAAAGGCTAAAGAAACACATGCATTAGGTATCACTGGAAGGGAGAATGATGTTAGGTCTGCATTAGTATTGCAAGTTTGGATGAAGTCACCCAGAGAGCTGAGGAAAGTGTGAGGAGGAAGCAGGATTTGAAAACATGAAGGAGAAACAAGAAGCAGTCTACAGAAGTTCCCAGCACGACAGATGTATTCATGAGAAAACAACAGTCATGCAAGAAGTGTGCTAGGCAAGTGCTAGTTAAGTCACTTGAAATAGGGCTAACAGAAATTTGTCATGTATGATGAGACCTTTGGTTGCTTTCTCTCTCTCTCTCTCTCTCTCTCTCTCTCTTTTCTAGAAACAATTGCAAAAGATGCCCAGAATAGGTGTTTTCAAGCATGGTATGTTTCAGAGTGATACCACACAAGTCTGATTGGTTATGCATATTTGTGTGTGTGTACGTGTATGTGCATGTTTGGTGTTTTTATGACTGATAGATGGAAAGCTGTGTAAAGACTATGTACAGGAGGCCTCTCAAGTATTATATGCATATTTCTACTCGGGTTTTTTTGTTTGTTTGTTTAAGACCTTTACAGTAGGATGACTCTGCTCTGGTTGACTTTGGCACATTCTGGATACTCTCTAACTGGAGAGCAGGACCTGTAGTTTTCTCCACCCCTGCATCTTCCAAAATCCCCGGACATTGGCAGTGAAAGCACATTTCCTTCCTGTTGCCAGCCTGGAAGTGCCGCTAGGGGTCACAGGGAGGGATCCATCTACAAGTAGCCCACCTGCCCTTGACACCCCACAAGGTCAACCTCTGCTCCTAGGCTGGGAGCCTGGAGGTCACCAGCTTTTGCCCATGTTTCACATCTTCTCACTAATTCCCCGTGCAAGGACCACCAACCTCTGAGGAGGACTGGAAGTGACTCCTTTCAGGGCCCCTCAATGCTTCTCCTTAAATTGGCCAGAAGGGGTCACTGCTGTTGAATGACACAGGTCTCCATCCCTCCCAGGGTTGAGGCTGCAGTTCGGGATGGCTCCTAGCCCCTGCTTATGGAGTGAGAAGCAGAATCCAAGGATTAAACCCTAGTCCTGGCCACATACCACATGCTGCCTCAGCAGCTAAGCAGACGCTGGCTGTGGTCATGGGACCAGGCAGCCCATGCCTGCAGACATGATTTCTATTCAAACAGAAAGAGCGTGCTGATGAGTCCATAGGCAGAGTCAAAAGATGTGGCAGCTATAAGCGACCACATGCTTATCATCTAATGTCCATTCAAGTTGAAGATACCTACAGATTTACACACTTCCCTAACCTAGTTTTCTTCTCTGCCTCTCTGGACCATTGCAAGTTTTGTTTTTGTTTTTTGAAATTAAACCTCTTTAATTTCAGGATGTGAGGATATATGTTGAAATTCAGCTCTCCATCTCTAGTGGTGTCTTGCTTACAAAATCTTCCCTCCTCCCTCCACAACAATCTAATATCACTTGACACAAATCCTCTACTAAAATGCAATTGGTAGTTTGGAGGACAGGGACATAATAGAATAGGAAAAATTATGTTTTTTTTAAAAAAATAAAATTGAAATGATTCTGTCTAGATCAAGGATGTAAAAAATACACAACATGAAAACTTTCACTCTCAACTTCTAAACCCATGGCAGACATCACTAGTGGATGACCCATCAAATCTAGTCGAGGCCTTAGGATCTTTTCAATACTATATTCTGTGAGTTGGCAGGAGATGAAACCTTCTCATTCTCTAGATTAGATAGTGAGCTCCCCAAGAAAAGAGTCTGTGTCTCTCTCTTTTTTAAAATTTTGGAATTACAAGTATCTAACAGTGTGGTGCATGTACTAGGAACTCAGAAGTTACTTGTTCAACTGATCTGCATTTTTGCAGCTCCTGTGCCTTTCAATAGCTATGCCACCCTTCTAGAATTCTCTGACATAGCCTTCAATCCTTTGCTACTAGAACATTGTTAGTTCCTAAAGCACTAGGACTGGAGGAGTAAAGGGGCTAGTTGTGTATACAATTTCAGCCAATTTGTTTACATCATATTGTTTTCCTTAGGCATATTTAACCAGAAGCAGCATAACTTTCTAGTACCTTATGGAAGAAACTCAGTTCCTCTCCTTTGAATTATTTCCCCCTGACCAGCTGAGGTGAAGAATGTAAAGGCCCATTCAGAAAATAGAAGATGGGAGAACTATTTCCATTATTTGAGGATTGTAACTCTTATCACCTTAACATTGAAATGGCCTCTTCCATAGCTGATGGCCACCGTCTCCAAGACCTCTTCCTTCTAATGCAGTGCACATGAAACTCTTACCCCACCATGGCCTACGGAATTTTCTGGGTACTGACAGGCTTGATTTTTGTCTAAAGAGAACTGACCAACAGAAAGTAGGTAAAAGAGGGCGGGGACAGAAAGGAACATTTGGAAGTGGGGACTGTGCATGGCAAATTCCACTCTGATGGAAGGAGATGGAGCAGGGTCAGGATGAGTTGGGTGAAGAGAATGGATGGTGGTGCTGGTGGTCGGAGGGGGTGACAAAGTCCACAGAAGTAAAATCACACTGGTGGAGGGAAGAAACCAGAAATGGGGTGCAGCTCTGAAGACATAGTGTTAAAGGTGGTCCATGAAGTACCAAGAAGGGTTGGCAGTAGAATGAGCGTCAAAGACCTGATGACAGGGTGGAGCGACAAAGGCAGCAGAGAAGGAAGGAAACCCCACAAGGACCTGTGGAAGGAAAAGAAAGGATGGGTGCTATTTGCAGGGGGAATTCAGAAGCCATCCTCTCAACCTGGAGCCAGGGCATCGGAGGCAGGAAGGAATTAGGCAGAAGGGACACAGATCAGAAGAAACAGGTGACAGACAGTCCTTCACAGTCCACACTATTTGGAGTCTACCCTCAAGCTACCAGTGTGGTCGGCCTTTGTCCAGACCCAGAAATGAAAGAAAGAGGCCAAAGGGTCAAGAGACTTGAGACCAACCCAAGGACTGACCTCCCCCTGAGCTAGTGGAATGGACAAAGTGAAATCTATTGAGCTGCATTTCTACCCCCCAAACCCCCTCTCCCGGCTGCAAGTTAATGACCTGCGTCTTAAAACAAGAGGGGCTGCCCATGTGGAGAAGGCCCAGGCAAATTACAGTAAGGCGCCAGAGCTCTGGGGGCCAATTTCTAGCTATGCACAGGGTCTCCAGAGCTAGTGTGGAGAGGCCCTAAGATGCCAATGGAGCATGTTGCAAAGTGCTATTTTAATTAAACCTTAAGTGACATATCTCCTGTCTGTGCCTCTGATGGCTTTTTAATTCAGGTCTCATTGCAGCATCAACTCTTCATATGCCCTCCTAATTCCTGGTTGGCTGAGGAGCCTTCCCATGGCAGGCTTCCGCCCTCCCAGCCCACATCATGCCAGCCTTGCCCCCGCCACCCCCTCCCACCTCCAACCTGCCCAGATAGTTGTTGTTGTTTTTTCTTTTCAAGCCAGAAGAGACTTTAAACTCAAGTCCCTTAAGTAGGGAGATGGGCTAAAGCAAGATTTCAGGCCTAAGAGGAAAGCGAGACTTACAGGTACCTGACTGGACAGGCTCAGGTTTGCCGCCGTGGTCTTCTTCTTGCTCCCGGTGCTGTTGCTGGCGTTTCCAGCGCTGCTGTTGGAAGTGCTGCTGGTGGAGTTTTTTCTTTTTCTCCGTTTGGTGGTTGGTTGCCTCGTGGGTTCCGCTACAATACAGAAGGGGGAAGAAGAATCCATTCCAGGGGGTAGCTTTCAGGCTAGTATTCCCCCAGTCCAGCAACAGAGACTTTGTACCTTGTTCATGTAACTGCAACCCCTCTGTGCAGAATTTTTACAATGAAACATGTACAAAAAAAATAGAAGACTTAGGAATAAAACCATTGTATCATCAAAAAAAAAGAGTGGACTATTTTTAAAAATGTCCATTTTTTGTCACTTTATAAAAAATTAGGAGAAGAAGCTCTTGTTCATTTTTAACACAACAGATATGATTTTCCCCCTCCTGCCTGTAGATAAAATGATGCTTATTCAACAATTCCTTGTAATTATAGTCCTTTCATTTACAACTGTGTAGATATGAGCTACACATACAACTCTCATAACTGAATTGAAAATATTTTTACTTAAGAGAAATGCTCGGGAAAAATATCCCCTGGACTACTTTCTCTTTCTAATAAAGGGAGGAAGTCTCCTGGCACCCCTAGAAGATACAGGCTATGAGACAAGTATAAACTGCGGCCAGTTGCTTTGGGATCTGTGTGCAACAGTGCCCCCTACTGGTTCAGGGCCACACTGCAGCCTGCCTCTACTAAACCTTGCTAGTCTCAAGAGAAGACAAAAGCATTAGTTTGCTGGGCCCTGTATATGCGTTTCAGGATGAATTTTCAAACTCTGTAGGAGTACCCACAGTTTGGATTGTGGTATTTATACACTTCTAGCAATGTGCTGGCATAGCCAGTACATTAATGAAGGAAAACTAGACCTCTTTCAAGAAATGACCATTCAGAAACAGAGAAAATCTTCTAGCTGTGATGGGGGCAACTCCTTACTAGAAATATAGGGACTCAAGAGTAATGCATGGCACAGTGAACTTATTTATTGTCTATTACATATAATGATTTACTCCATGCAATTCTGTTTGTTTCCTGTGTGTTAACTATTTTATATTCTAAACAACCCAATTAACTGGGTGTTATTATAATCTTTGTTTTGAAGAAGAGAAAATCTTTGAGAAAGCCTTTCCCATGCAGTTGCTGAACAAGTTGGCAATGTCAGGTAAGATGGTCCCTGTTGAGAACTCAGTTATTGGACTTGAAATAAATTTAATAAACTTATTAAAACTTCTGTGATGCTCTGGCAGTCAAGGGGAGGGGTTTTATTTTTGTTAAATATTTTTATTGTATAGATACTGTACAGTGGGGTTACAGTTACATGAGTAAGGTAATGAGCATTGCTACCCCTCCTTTGTTTTCCCCCAGCCATTCCTTCCCTCTCCACCTCCCAAAGTTGTAGAGTTTGTTTTTAACATAGCGGCTTGTACATCTCATTTTACAATGGGTCAGTCTGTATTCTTGTTTCAGCATTTTGTTATTTCCCTTTGAGGAGGGGTTTTCTAATGAGGCTCATTTCAAAGATAGTTTAAACCACAAAGTTATTCCTGACACTAATTGAAAGAAAGATATGGGATTGTGCTACTTTTCCTTCCATGAATGGTTTGCTCCTTTTGCTCCAAGGTTTACCATCTGAACATCTCTTTCAATTACCTTGTGGGTGCTTATTTTGGAGAATAACAGAAAGAAGAAATAGATTTGTCCTAGATCATGAAGTTGGAAGAAAACTTGAGTGTGACATTTTATGCCAAGCACAGATACCAAGGCTTACAGAGCATTTTGATCTGAGCTCCAGAATATAAATTTACTACCTTTGGAAAAAATGCATCTGTCCTTATTTACTCATAAAAATTTGGAGTAAATGCATCTGAAATGAACATTCTCGACATTTCTCTTAGTGATGGTGGTTGTTGTAGTGAGTGCAAGGCCTCTGGAGACACCAGACCTTGTGTGTGACATTGTCTACATGTGTTAGCTATGATACTTACTTGGGCCAAGTACAGCTCTATGTCTCAGGCCTCACTGTGTCCAATGGGCCAATAATAAATATGTCATAATATATTTCCTTTAGTGTAAAATTCCAAGTGCCTACTACCTAGTAGGGTCCAATAATTAATTATTGAGAATGGATGAGGGAATGAATGAATGATATGAGTTATACATTCCTATGTGGGAAACTATAGGTGCTCAAAGCATTTAGTGTGTGAGTAGATATTTTTCATAAAGACTTATTGATATTGAAGGAGGAAATAAAGCCAATTTAAACCCACTTGATATACTTTGAAAAATAATATTATAAAAGTCTAAAATCCACCAAAGATGGAGTGAAATGATTCTATGTAAAAATACCACTTATTTTCTTGGTTTTCTAAGTATGTATTTGGTTAAATCTTCTATAATCATTTTATATAAAGCCCCTGGCTAATTACCAGTAGAAGGTGACCATTATATTTTGTAATTCAAAGAGCTATGTGCCTCACGTTAATAATTACTCTTTATAAAAATAATTTTTAGCAAATGCATACATTTTGCTTGTATGATCAATGAGGCTCAGCACAAGCCTGGGAGTGAAAATGTATTAGACAGAAAGACAATTAACAATGACTTGCAGCAGTAATTTCAGAACCCCAGCAGGAGACTATAGTATCTAAACTGCAGTCTAGAGAGGTGAGGGAAAGGCAGTGTTTTATGTATTCTTCTCATGATCAGACTGACTTCTGATAGAACACATCTTGAAAAATAGAGCAAACTTTATGTACCTTCTTTGTCCCTCTCCCTCTCTACTGCCCCTCCTCTCCTTTTCTCCCTTCCTCTCTCCTCCTTACCTTTTTACCTCCATCTCTCTGAACTGCTCTCCCTTCTTCTCTCTCCACCTCTTTTCTTTCATTTCTCTCTACTCCTTCCTTCCCGCTTTCCTTTCTTCCTCCTTTCCTCCTTCCTTTGTTCTTTCTTCCCTCCCTCCCTTCCTTCCTTCCATTTTCTACATTCTTAAAAACTAGATTAGGAGAAGCCAGCAGTCTAGTCTATTGTAACAATTCACACATTGGGAGACAGAAAAGCCTGATTCTGATCTTGGCTTTGCCAATAACCTTCTTGATGATTTTGAATAAACAGTTCTACTTCTCTAGGTCCTAATCTGTAAGCAGGAAGACGATAGCTAATCCTGATGCTATTCCATATCTCTATGTCCAAAATCATGGCCAAGATATCCCTGACAAATAACATTGGGTACATTTAGGATTTCCTCTTTTCATCCCCGGATACAAACCTCTGCAGAGAGACTTAGAACGACAGTGACGAATGAGTGGACCTACCTGGTGGGGCCACCATCCGCTGCCACTTCTGAAACAAGCAGGTCTTCAGGCAGTCACGAGGACTGAGGTTGTAGGTTTTGTGTCTCGACATCAGTTCCTGCATTGGCTCCAGTATTACACACAACTGCAAGAGGTTCAGAGACATTGGTATCCTGCTACTTGATGATATTAATTATAATAAATAACGTGAACAGCTGGAATCAGTTAGACAGCTTATGGGTTCTTTTCTTTCTTTCCCTGGTTTTCATTTTCCCTATCCACATTTGTGGAGAAAGAAATATTACCAGCACTTGATTATACTCACTTAATAGAGTATCATTTATAATATATTACAGCTGATTTTGATTTTTATACACACACAGGCATATCCTCTATATAGATTCTGGGTATACACACAGCTCGATTATGAATTCGGAGCACTCTGGCTGTTGATCGTGTTTGTAGAACCACACACTGTGAGCTACAATGCTAGCTTATGCAGATTATCTGGCAGTGAAATCCAGCTTTTAAATTTTGGAGAGCAGAGTGGGATGTACAGATACTTTTTGATACTAATTTGTATAAAGGCAGATGATGAACATTGTTATTTTTTTGTTCACATGTACTCATTTCCATTTTACCCATGAAAAGAATATAAATAGCATATGCCAGTATTCTTTTAATATGGGAGTTTTTAACTGAGATTTTGCCTGGGTCACCTGGCTCTTTCTCTTGGTTAGAGTTTTCAACTTTACTTTGGGTCCAGATATCTGATGACAAAGATTAATGAATGAACCAAGAAGGTAAAACAATTAAAGACTATTGTAGAATTCCTTCTGGAGCCAGCCTATCAGACTACCACTGCTTGGGGAGTACTGAACTGCTGAGGACCAAGGCCTGCAAGTGGAAAGATGTCTGAATCGCAGTTACAATGACAGTGATACAAATATAGCATTATCCCAGTCCATGTGGAAAAAGCATCATTTTATGAAAGACACATGCGTAGCCTCCAGCTCCATTGTTCTGTCTTCCTTATGAGTTCCTCTCTTTACATCATTTTTCACATCGAACACTTCCCCTGGGGCCATGTTGCCTTTTGCCCACTGAATTCTAATGGCCAATCCTTAGCCACTGCCTGCGCATCCTTGACAACATAGTGACTTCTTTCATAACACCTTCCTCCCAGACGTGCACCGCTCACCGCTCCCTGCACAGGCTGGGCTCCCCTACTGTTCTCTTGTTGCACCCAGCACTTTCTGCTGCCTGGACTTCTTAGATTTTAGAACCCTCTGCTCTAAATTCTTGCCTTTTCTACTAGACAAGACATTCTTTGGAAGCTGAGATTGCACCTCTGATCTCCATATTTCCTTTTAAAAATGATTCAAATAAATGGATGTATTTAAGGAGTGATTCTTAGAAAGACTGGAAGATCTTTCCTGGCTAATTTTCAAGGTGAGATCTAAGGAATGTCTCGAACAAAATCAGGTGGGCTGATGATTAAAATGCAGACTTCCAAGATCTGCTCCTCTCATTTCGTCTTCAATTCACATCCAAAACATCTCATATAGAATTCTGGCAAGAACACCTAAAGTTTGAGGTAACCTGTTCTATACATTCTGCATGAAAGACAGTAGAATCAGCAAGATATACACAAATCTGTAGTGGTCTCCTGTTCTACCGAATCAATTTTCTCTGGCTCCCTTCCCTCCTGTTCAAATCTATCTATGATGGTTCTATAATTACCTTTACTTAGAACGAGTCTTTAAGCTGGGTGCTGGTGGCTCATGCCTGTAATCCTAGCTACTTAGGAAACTGAGATCTGAGAATCATGATTTGAAGCCAGTCTGGGTAGGAAAGTCCATGAGACTCTTACTTCCAATTAATCACAGAAAAAGCCAGAAGTAGTACTGTGGCTCAAGTGGTGGAGTCCTAGCCCTTTGAGCAAAAGGAGCTCAAGGCCAGTGCCCAGGCCCAGAATTCAAGCCCCAAGGCCTCCCCCGCACCCCCAATTCATTATCCCTTTTAACCCACTGATGACCTAAACTTGCTAAAAACCAATAACCTCATTTAAGGGTCAAATATCTTTCATTTGTAGTTTATCTGGTTTCAAATCTTTTGCTGGGAACTACAGGTTTCTGCCCGCAATTCTAGCTACATAGGAAGGTGAGATCGGAAGGATCATGGCTTCAGGCCAGCCTGGGCAGAAAACTTCATCAGATCCCATCTCAATGGAAAAGCTGGGCATGGTGGTATGACCCTGTGATCACCGCAATGATGGGGAACCTAAGGTAAATGGATGTGTGTCTGGGCAGGAAGTAAAGCTGAGTGACAGTGTTGGTCTTAGTAAGCTTGAGATTCTGAGTATAAAGCACAGTACCCTCCCTAGGTATTGGGCATTTTTTCCCCCTAGCTAATCCTCAGTATCTCTCCCTTCCCCTTCAAAAGCTTGAACAATGCAAGTGCAATGTTGGCCCTTAGGACAGAGCCACTGAATTCTGGGAAAGCATTGTTAGAAACCCAGAAAAGGACATGTCATGACAGATTTTGATCGGACTTTTTTTTTTTCTTAATTTGGAGCCCTTCGTAAAGTGTAAAATGTTGGTAAGGAAAAACCATTGAAAGAGGCTGAATTGCTGCATGCACAATGAACTCCATATTCCAACACAATCCGTGCATATTCCCTATTAAGAATTCCTTCCTGGAAATCAGAGTCTGTGCACCAAATGGTGTGAAAGATTCCCCAATCATCTGTACAAGCAAATTTCAGAATGAATCATTCCTTGCAGAAGCACCGCCACACTCAGGGAAGATATCTGTATCTATTATTTTTTTTTTTAAGTATAGTAGGGCAGACTTTCAGAGAAATTCTAGGGAGTAGGAAAATTTTTAATAAAAAGTTAGAAAAGGTTTTTAAACTATTTTCAAACTATTTTCTTTGGTTTTATTTCCTTTTCATTGCAACTGAGCTTACAATGGTGTTAAATACATGGGTGGACTAGCATTAGCCTGGGTCTACTGGCTAAGAGCTAGAGGTATGGATTTTGTCTGTGTGTATCTTTGTGCAAGCTATTTAATAACTCAGGCTTTCAGGTTCACCTGTACCACAATACCCATGTTGCATATTGCGCAAATGTGAGATCACATTTCTAATGTATAAGAGCTTGACAATCTGGGGGTATTAGGCTTGAATATTAGCAAGCACAAAGTAGATTGTGAAATAAACCACACGTTATTGTTTTACATCCATAAAACATGTTTCCAGCTTCTTCTTCAGTGTCAAGCACTCAGCTCAGTGTTAGACACACACACACACACACACACACACACACAGGTTTATGCACACACAAATGAGAATATCACAATCTCTGCCCCCTTCAAAATGATCCAAATGTATTAAACCTTCCCTGGATTCATGGTTCAAGCATCTCAGGAAATCACATCCATCTGATGCAACTATTTTTCATCATATGACAAGTTATATGGCAAAGACAACTCCTTTGGACCCGGAAATGGTTACCAGCTTCAAGCAATCTATGCACTGGGAGAGCTACATTTATTCTGAAAACTCATTATTGCTTTTGTTTTTACAGTGCATTTCCTCTCTGGGTATTGGGCATTCCTCCTCTCCCCAACCACAAGCACACACCAGGAACTAATCCTCAAAAATCTCTCCCTTCCTCTTCAATACAAACAATATCTTCTCATCATTTGTAACCCACCCCTAAGGAGCTTGCATCTCTCCATGCTAATCAAGAATTCCTAAAGTCATTTGCTTGCAGTGGAGAGGTCCTGGGCTGGAGAGGCAGCTCCCTCCCCTCTTTATTCATGTACGCAGATTAGATTAGGTGTCCTATCTGCTGTGCTGACACAGTGGCTTTGCTGGGCTGTGTGCTGTAGGTGGCAGAACTAACTCAGATAAGAGCCTCTCTTCTGGGCAGCCCGCCATTGAACCACTGAATGCTGGCAATAGCAAAGACCTGGAGTGTTAGGAAATGCAATCAGGAAGACTGTTGTGGGAGTGGGGTCCTGCAGTCACTAACCAGATTTCCTTGGAGCTGTGTTTCCTGCCTCCTCTAAGGTCTCCCATGTTGAGAATCTGGTGAAGGCTATGCAGATCGTCTTTCCATTTTTGTGCAAAATGTATGCATGAATCCTCTATAATCCCAGTCATTGCTCGGGTATGTCCCCTTCCTTGTCTGTGGGAAGGATAATCCAGGCTACAACATTTCTTTCCCCTGTCCTGCACATGCACATATGTACACAGACACACAGACACACAGATCATCATCACCCCATTTATACATGTGCTCATGTAAACACACACACATACACACACACACACACACACACACACACCATCCCACTTATACATACACATTAGTAGAAATGAGTGTAATAAAACAAGCTCCACTGGTTTGGAAGAATAATTTTATTGCAGTTAAACCTACTACAAAGTTCCCAGAGGACCGGGTTCTTTGCTTGAAAAGAAAGGCCACATTCAGCATAGCTGCAGCAGCCTGCCTTGGGGGTTGCAATTCAGTTTGGTCTCCTCTTCCTGTGGTGTTGGAAGGGACCATGAGAAATCCCAGGATGCAGCAGAAAGGGGTAGAACCAGCAAGGCCTGCAAGCACCCTCTGATTATGAAGCACTTCAGCATTCAGTGCCTGTTCAGATCACTTAGAATCCCAAAGAAAGCCACAGATTGTCCTGGCAAAGCTGGGAAGGCAGTGGCTTGCAGATTAGTATTTTAGGCTGGCCTTGCTCCCCTGTGTTTCTGATGTCACTTTCTAGAATTCGGGCTGCACACTGACTTTTTGAGTAAAGAATTCTATAATCACAATAGGAATTTGCCGATGAGTGGAGGGCTGAACCAAAGGAGGGAGGAATGGATGGACAGATAGATGGATAACAGATAACTTTGGTCAAATTAATAGCAAGGAGTCATTTGTTGCTGGCACAAAGATCAGGTATGGTCCTGTAGGCTTAGAAGTGAGCAGTTTGTCCATTTGATAAATGACTGATTGGTTCCTCAGTGAGGAATGTGTACAAGTGTGTATGTGTTGGCCAGATGGACGACAGCTTGGTCCCAAGACTCCTTTGATTTTGTACTCAGAGATGCAAAAGTGGGCAGCACATTATTTTGGT